GCAGTTAAGAATTGACTTAAACCAATACATCTCTTCCTAAGCTTAGATTCATATGAGCGTTGGACAAACTCGTGATACATTTGGCCAGTCCAGTCAGTGTTAGTTTATTTGCGAGAGCCCTATTTTTTCAATCGGAGAGCCGCAACGCATGATGCAAGATTTAAAGCCCTCATGGCAGCTGTGGTGGCACCATGGCAATGATCTTCTCGATCAATCTTATGATTGCACAAAGTTCTTGATGTGTACTCAAGAATCATATTGGCCATTCCAGAGTGATGGACAAAGCATTATTCAAAGTTTGTGGCTGACAGAATCAAAATCTTTTTCTTTTTCTTTTTTTTTTCTCTCTAAGTTTTGTCTTTATTTTAATGAAATGGTTCACTCTTGACATGAAATCTAACATACTTTCTGGTTTTGTTCCTTTAACCTCTTGGGTACAAACATAAATGTAAACATATTGATCTAGGCTTGTGAGGGTGGTTTAGGTACTAAATTTGGGTTTAAAGAGATATTAAAAGTTTCTTTAAAAATAATATGGGTGTAAAAAGTAAGCTGGGTGTGGAAATATGTTGCATGGGTTCATATAAAATTATCCTTTTTAGATTACTAAAGTGTTTGCTCTTTTTTGTGTGCTTGAATGCGCTTTCGGGATAAAATTAGAAGTGCATTTAGGTTTTAAAATGTATTTGGACTGCTTTTTGTTATATACTTTTTGCACGAGTTATTTCTAGTGTTTGTCAAGGCATCACTTGTATTTTTATCAAAATATTGATGTGCTTTAATACAATTGCTAAAGCACAATTTGAGCATAAGTGTGTGTTAGACAAGCATTTTCGAATGGCCCTATCACAAATTATTAGTGTAGCATGCGTTGGATATTCTCATTTCTATTCAATGTTGTTTGAATTTTAATATCCGCTTGATCACTATATTCTTTTTATTTTTTAGTATTAACTTTTTGAAATTGAGAATTTGGAAAAAGAGAAATGAAAAAGGACGGTAGGAGTGAAGGGAAGAAACAAAAAAAGAATGAATGAAAATAAAATCATTTAAGTGAAGATAAGTTTAAAATAGTTTTTAGATTTTCGGTGTTTCGGTTTTATTTTGTGTGCATTTTGTTATACATTATTCTACACTAATTTTTAATGTTAGGTCGGGCTAGCTTTATGTGTCAAATAATCGAACAGTATGATAGTCACCCATTCTCCTTCCCTGTGTCAACCTCTATGTATTTCTTTTGTATTATTATTTTATATATATCACAATTTATATGCACCTTCAAATAAATAGCTATTTGATTTAATTTTGTTTCTCCTTAATGTGCTTTTCTGGTGTTCAATTTGTTCAAAAGAAAGAACGAAAAGGAAGAAAATTTGATTGCGTGACGGATTTCTTAAAGAGTATATTCTTGTTTATTATTCATGAAAATTAAAAAATGAAACTTAAACATCATACAATATGTTTATTTTTGCCATCAGGTTCTGCTGTTTCTCCTCCGCTACCCCCTACCACCCTTCCGGCACCCACCACTGCCGTTGCTTCTCCCCTACCCCCGACCATTACCGTCTGTCCACCAATCCCACTGTTGGTCTCTCTGGCACCGGTTGCTGTTGAGATCCAGTCGGATCGCAACGAGAAGGGGCAGAGGGGCTGGATCTCAACGAGAAAGGGCAAACGACTCCCCTCAAACTTCGTCGGGGAAATGCTCTAGGAGGCTATCCAGGATAGCTGGAGGAGCCACCGCTAGATTCCTCGTTATACTCTTTAAGGGTCAGTCTCACTTTACTACCTTTAAAGTTTCTTGGTTTTGAACATTTTCTACGTTAAGTATTTTTTGTCCCAATCTAGTACCTAAAGTCATAATTCTAGAATACTTTCATACATCTGTTAAGTTTTTCATCAGAATTTCCGTTAACTAATGACATAACGCCCACATAAACAATAACTAAGGCCCACATGAATATTAAAAAAATTAAAAACCCAAACTCCTTCCTCTGTTCCCCCTCAGCTCTTCAATTTCCCTCACTTCGAAGCTCCCAACCACTAAACCACCGGTCACCCAAATTCTAGATCAAAATTAACCACACCCAAACTCAGCCATGGCTTCTCCCTCTCCTCACAAGTCCAAGATCTGCAACTCCCTCTTAAAACCATCAGCCCTCATCAGAGGCAACCACATATCCGCCCCATTCTGCTCCTCTAAACCACCCCAATACGATTTCTTTAAGTTAAAACAATTCAATTTATTTATTTTTTATTTCTATTCCCAAAACAGATAGAAAAAAATTCGTTTGTAGAGAAAAAGGTATACATTTTGCATAGATAAGACCTGAGGTCAGTGGTGGGTCACGAGTACATGATGACCGAGACAACAGGGATCATGCTGTCATGCGCATGGAAGTTGGAATGGAACAAACTCCCAGTGATAGAGCAGGCGAGGCTGAAAGCAAGGCAGGGAGTGATGACGATCGGGATGGTGGAGGCGGATGTGGTGAATCCAGATACGGGTTTGCGTGTGAATCGGGACGGGTTGGAAATCAAGGAGATAGTTTTGAGAGGCGGGTGCATGATGCTCAGGTGAGGTAGGGTTGATTTTGATCTGAAGTTTAGGGTGGTTGGTGGTTCAGAAGTTGGGAGCTTTGAAGCGAGAGAGAAATGATCTGACGGGGAAAAAAGGAAGCGGAATGGAGGAAGGGGCTTTTAGATTTTTAGGTTTTTAATTTTTTAATTTTTTAAATGGGTCGAGTTGAACCAGGTTAACCTGTTTTACATTTTTAATCAAATGTTGTTTAGTTTTAATCATGTGCCTTTTCAAAAACAAAGCAAAAATATAATTATGTGCCAATTTTACAAATAGTAGTTCTACCAACTGTTGCTTTGGTAGCTACACTCTTGTTTTAAAGGGAGCTTTCATTAAAAGAGTTTGACCTAAGTTTATTTTAACCAAAAACCATGCTATAATTTTATTTAATGAAAAAGAATTAAATATTAATTAAAAAAACCCTTAAATTTTAATAAAAATAATAAAAGAACTTAAATTTTAATAAAAAGACACAATTTTAATATTAAAAAAATTAAAAAAAAAATAACCTGACGCGCGTCTATCACAGACGCTGTTATGAAACTGAACACTATTTATGAAACTGAACGGTACTACACTATTTATGGTCTAGTTTTATAAATAGTGTCTACTTCTTGTGCCTAATTCTTTGTCATGTTTCATAAATAGTGCCTAGTTATTGGGTCCAATTTCATAAATAATGTATAGTAATTGGTACAGTTTCATAAATGATCTCTTTCTTGTCTGGTTTCATAAATATTGTCTAGTTATTGGTCAACTTTCATAAATAGTGCCTAGTTCGTGGTCATATTTCATAAATAGTGTCTAGTTATTGGTCCAGTTTCATAAATAGTGTATAGTTTAGTATCATAAATAATTTCCACCTATTGGTTTAGTTTTAGAAATTGTGCCTAATTCTTGGTTTCGTTTCAAAAATAGTATCTACTTATTAGTCCAGTTTCTTAAATAATGTCTACTTATTGGTCAAGTTTTATAAATAGTATCTAATTCTTGGTTTAGTTTCATAAGGTTTGTAACTTAGACCCTTTTAGGCCCTATAAGAGCACGCATTGCGCCGAAAAAAAATGAACCCATAAATGATACTTTAGATCAAAACCTTGAGAAGATTATGTCATCAATAATTATATTTAAAAAGTTGTTTTCAATTACCAAATTAAAATTCCCTCACATTTTCTACATACACACAATAATTAAATGTAGCTCTCCATTCATTTTCTTTAGCTTGGGTGTCATCTTGAAGAAATTTTTCCTTATACTCGTAATACAAGTGGTACATCACGTGTTATTATGTAAGTGGTGGAAAACTTTATTTTTTAACACAAGAATCTCACCATTTGTATAGAGACACGTGGTGCACCACCCGGTGTCCCAAGCATCTTGAAAAATTTCTCGTCGTCTTGACTACTACTGGGAAACAATACCACAAAACAAAACTGAGAAATATAATTCAATTTGAAGTCTTTCTCTTATTCTAAGGAAAAAAATCTCTCTTACTGATAGCTGACAACATAGAGGAAAAAAAGTGGAAACGGGAAAGGGCTAGGAGTATGCGCACACAGCTCATGTGGTGTTTTTTTTTTTATGTTTTTGTTTTATTTTTTATTTTTTTTCTTATTATTAAATAAATTTAATAAATAAAATTTTGATTAAAATGCGAAGATTTGAATTACTTCCATTTGTTTATCTTATTTTGAATTCGTGGGGTTCAAAGTTTATTGAAATTGAACTTTTTCTTTTTAAATTCAGACTCTTTTATATTTGAAAATCCATTTTCATTATTCATTACGAAGGAATTTATGGCCCAATTAACAATTAATTAATATAAAAAATGTATGTATTTTTCAATTAGATGAAATAGGTAAACGAACTCATTCAGCCCAACACGATATTGTCCAAGCACAATTAATTTATTGTCATCTATTCATCTTCACTCTTTTGTGTCTCTCATTTCTCCGATGTCCTTTCTCTTTCTAAAACAAAAATAAAGGAAAAATAGTTATATAATGAGGACTTTAATAAAAAAATTGCACTTTTTTCTTGCTTGCATGTTTTTCTAAATAGTTAAAATCTTAATATTTCAATGTGTGTACAAATAAATCTAACGAAATTCGTAAATTTAAAAGCCGCTCACATATGCAAGTATGAGTTAAGTTAGTTGACTAAGCAATGTGTCCGCTCCCTTGATCTAAGTTAAAACCTCACTCTCCATAATTTTTTTTTTTTTTTTGAAAACACTATAAATTTGAGTAATTTAAAATATTGTCTTCAAGCACTGCTATATAGTTGGCATCATAAAGGGTATTATCAGAGAAAAAGGACCCGACTTCTCCCGTCATAAGTTCATATCATAATTATTTCTATGTACGTGGTTTGCCGCTCTTTTGCACTCAAGTTCAAATTTCCTTTTATACAAAGTAAATAACATATCAAGAAACATTTTTTATTGCATATATCTAATTATTTCGAGCAGCAATACAATTGGTACATTGCTATCCCAAATGTAACCAAGACAACATACCATGAATTCTCGACCATGAACACCTCAACAGAATCAAAGGCACAAACTCACAACCATTCAACTTACATAAACAAGTACATTGCACTACTATACAAAATCACAAAAAATTGAATACACCACATAACAAAAGTTGTTTGACAGTACAAACATATCCCCTGCTCAGCAAGATCTAAGAAAGCGAAATTGAGCCGTGGAAAAAAACGATAAATACTCAAACCTCAGTGTCCTTGGGATGGGAAAGGATTATCTGTGGAAGACTGAGCATCAGATCCGACATTTGAATTTTGCGATGTAAATAAGTTCGGGTACCAGAAGTAGGGGACATCCTCCATTGAAGCCAATCTCTGAGGCTGATGACGAACAGGTTCATGCTCAGAAGCATGATCATTGGAATGTGCGGAATCAAAATCAACATTAAGTGGTTCCATAGTGATAGACGAAGCATTTGATATCTCTGATCCCTGGCCATATAAATGGATTTGATGGGGTACCGGAGAATCTATTACACCATCAGAACCACCATCAGGGATAAGATGATTGGAGTTTGGTTTTTCTCTTGTATCTGACCGATTAGGAACGTCCACATGAAATGGGTTTTCACAGCTAGTTTCTGGGACTTCTTCACTGTTTTTCTTGGTAATCTCGTTGATTCTGACCTGTGCAAGACTAGCTGCCGAGCGAGCTGCTGTGGCTGCACGTTCTGCAGAGTCCGCAGCAGCCTGAGCAGCAGCTAACACATCCTGCAAATCAACATTGACCTCACTTCTTGTTCTTGAAAGATTTGGTGGTGGATTTCTTTGTCTTGTCGAAAATGATGCAGAAGAAAGTGAGGGGGAAGAAATAAATGGCAAAAACTGCTTATCTTCCACAGCACCAACCGAGACATGAGACTGTTCCTGATTGTTAGCTACTGATCTTTCTTCCATCACTTCTCCAGACTCAAAGGATGGCTCTTTAGATTGACTGTCAATGGACCCAAGTTTCTTTGACAAGTCATGATCAATTTCAGGGTGTGGCTGGGTTGGTAAAGAAGGAGACATTGCAGGTGCTGAGGCTGGATTTGCACTTGGTCGTAGTGACTGCTTGGGTACTTCAGGAAAGTTTAATGAGTCCAAACCGTCATCAGAATCAGACAATTCTTTCTGGTCTTGATCCGGGCTGTATTGCAATGTTTCATCATGTTTTTCTTTGGGAAGGGGCAATTTAGACCCACTAACAAACTGTGTCGGACCACTCTGACAATGAGAGGACAGATTTAAGCAGACATAGGTGAAAAATAAAAAGGGAAAAAAGGACAAGCAAAAAATGAGACCAAGCAGGGGCATATATGCTTACCAACAAATCTTCATGCGGTTTATAAATTTCAGCTTCAGATGCAGCAGGATCCCAATCCAGGTCATGCTCTTCAGCAATTTCTTTCAGAAGCTTCAGTTTTTTCTCAGGCGAGGGCGCACGAACAGAAAGCAGTTCTATCAACTGTACCAAAACTGAATGTCACAAACACATAGTAGGAAACTAAATATCATGAACAACACCCATGCAAGTTTAGTTGACTAAAAGATCATGGGAGAAAAAGGGAGTACACTACAAAAAGAAGGTTCATAAAACCTGGCGATTGACACCACAATCTGGTACGAGCTCTGTTGCAGCTGCTACAAATTCCTTGCCATATTTTGAAGCAAATAGCATTTGAACTTGCAGCAACTCCGGCAGATCAGCACATCTTGGCGCAGCAAAACACACACTGGATATTGCTTCTTTCAAGTCTATTGGGCATTCCCTGTACCAAACGAAAAGTTATAAATAAAGTATGTGAATTTTAAAATGTAAGTAATTACAAAACTTAACTAACTCTTTTGTGTCGACTTCAACAAACTTTAATGCCAAAAAAGTAAGTCAAGTATCACAGACAACACTTAATGCGACAAATGGTTGAGAATAATCAACCATATGAACCTAGTAAAGGACCAAGGTACACAGACTAACCGAGATAGTAAGCTATGTGATGCTAGAAGTGCATGTGGCACAAGCTACCTCAGTAAAATAACATGGAGGGTTATGTGGAAGTGCAATGTGAGTTAATGGAATTCCCCGGGATAAATGAGGGTTGGGGTTGTATAATGCGTGGTATACCATCTGGATTGCCACAACAGTTCGTAAAGTCTTAATACAGTCAGAAATTTCATAATAGGTTCATCTGATCCTCCATCAACGAACAAGGACAGAGTAAATATGAAACTCAAACAAACTTCCTATAACTGATACTATTGGACTCCGTATTCCAGAAGCACAACAATAAACCACCGGCTAGAGAGCAGACAGTGCTCCCTGCTAGCATTTGATGGGTTTAGTGACTGAATTGCAATCCTTGAATGACAGACTCTGTTTGGTTACTCGAATATATTGGTAAAAGATGGTATTGATATTTTATTTGTAACAATTTGGGAAGAAAAGTACAAACCTATACATCTGTCCAGCTTAGCTAAAGTGCTTGTATTCCACAAGAAGAAAAACCAATCACTAGTTCTCAAATTTTCTTTTTCCTCTCTCTTCTCTCCCCAATTATTTCTAGAGACAAATTAAGTATATATGAAACTAGAAACCCAAAACAAGCTTACAGAGAGAGCCTGTTAGCAGCATGTTTTCTATGGAACTGAAAACAAGTGAATATCTTTCATGTATATCTATTTTACAGGGCAACAAACAAGTGAATTAAAGGATTAAGTTTGGGTTTCCCAAAAACTCAGAAATGTTAAGACTTCGGACCTTTAACCAATCAAACATGTAATATTATTGATTAGACGCAATAGAAAATATGATCATTGCACTTTCAAATTATTTCAAAAAGCTTTTGTGATCTAACCAAAAATGCAGCAGCCAAATTTCTACCATGAGAAACATAGGCTAGTTTACAAGCTTAGTCAGACACTAAAAATTAAAAGTTTTACCCCACAAATTACAAGCTTTGCAGATGAGCCACAGCAACATCTGATTAGGTAATAAAATGATGTATTCTTGACTTAAAAAATGCTATGAGAAACCATATCATCATATCCAAAGTCCCATGCCTCGTATTTAAGAATTTATGTAGCTAGGCCATTGCAGACTCTTCTTCTCATCTATAATTTTCTCTTAACGAGTTTACCTCTGCACCCATGTACATCTCAAAATGATGCGCGTGTGTTTGTGAATGTGTGCTTTTGTCTTAGTCTAAAGAGGTTGCTTCTGTTAACACCCACTTGGAATGCAGGGGCTTTTTGCCCTTTTTGCTATAACATGTGGTTTATAAGGCTCTTCTCCAAGAAGATTTAAGTTTGTCTGGTGTGCTGTGAAGAAAAAATAGTCACATCAATCTAACGCAAAGTTACAACTAACAACTAACAGAGCTTTATTTGGTCTTGTAAGGAAACTTGAAACGAAGAATAGAAAAGAAGTTATTCAGAAAATATAGTTAGGTGTCAAAATCAAAGACATGAGCATTATTTTCTAATTTAGATTATCCTAAAGTAATAACATATAGTGACAAAACTCCAATAAAACTTTTTGATAAAAATGGGTGGGGAAACATGTATGGTGGGGGGAGCAAAGGGATTTTAGAGGTCCTGTGCTCAATCCCTCAAGTATTAAAAAAAATCCTTTGATTTGATTAATTGATTAAGAGAAATTTTGTTCTTTATTCTAGCAACAATGGTCTTTTTTCAAAGCCATCTCTCTCCCCACAAGGAAAAGAAACAATGAGTACACTATGGACTGAGGATTATTAACAATAAATTTCAATTTTTTTCTTTTTCTAAATCATACCGGTTCATAATTTCTATAATACATGCCTGTTACTAAATCCAAGAGATGCACCCTAGATCAGCCCAGATTTTTCACTAACACATTGCTGAATTGCTTGCAAGTTTATAAGGGATTACAACGTATCAATTGCTTTTTAAGAATGAGATTCTACACAAAGTGGAAGCAAACATAAATCTAAAACTAAATCTTCCTTCTTTATACAATCCACTGACAGTCATTCTTTCACCATACTAAAACATATGTATAGATATTTTCCAAATTTTCAAACATTGACTTAAATTTGATTTGGTGAAACCAAGTTAACCAACCTATGGTTAGCCATTCAAAAAGATAGCAGGCATAGCAGCATGCACTATAACCCATGCTCCCCAAATCATCTCAGTTTTTAGACTTACAATATATACAGTTATCAAAATGTTCCCTCCCTCGAGAGAAATATGAGATATTGACACAATTTCAGATTAGGGTTCTGACCGCAGAAAATATAAGCTTACAGAAATGCTAAACCAAAAGGTTGGGTTAAAGTATTTTTTTTTTTTTTTTATGAAAAACAATCAGAAATAGAAACTGAACAGGAACATGTTACAAGCAAATCATCAGTTTAGAGAATAACCTTTGTGATTCAATAATTGGAAGGCGGACAGCAATAAGCTCAGAAAATAGCTCAAGGATCTCCTGAGCTGCCATCATGTTCTCTTCTCTAATAATATGCTCTACCTGAAATGTAAATATCAATAACACCATTACGAAATGATCGTTAGAAATACCCAAACTAAACTTTCTCTTCATACTTTCTAATAAGGGTACCCAACTCATATACTCCAGAAGTAGCAGAATCTCTTAGTATAGATAATATAAGGAAAAGAGATGTATTACCCGAATCCTCGCAGTAGCCTCTTGGCCAGTCTCAAGAAGCTTGGCAATGTCGCGGCGCATCTGTTTAATCTGAATTTCTCTCCTGTTCCTCAACAATTTTATCCGCGGAATTGTCAATTTCAGCATGGTTTTGCTGCACATAGAAATACACACTTACATAAAATCACAAAATTCAAAGTTGCATTGCACATCCACAGAACGCAAATAATTCAAACCCCCGTCCTTAAAATCTTCAGTATATCATACTCAAATGGGTTTTCTAAGAAATTAAAAGTTTGTAAAATCTCACACTTCCTCAACAGACAAACAGAAGTACCAAATCGATCCAAGATTTCGATCTCAATAACAATTGAGACGGAAAAAAAAAAAAAAAAAAAAAAGAGAGACAAACTGAGAGAGAGAGAGAGAGAGATGAGTGACGGGGTACCATTTGGCTGCTTTGAAGCCCTTGTTGAAGAAGGAATCGAGCATCGACATGGCCGATGAAAATCCAGATCCCTAGTTCCCAAATAAAAGATCAAATCTTTTCTCTGCGTATTGGATTTTGATGTTGCAGTGAAGGAATTTGATGACGAGGATATGATTGAGAATTGTGACCAGTACCTGAGGAGACGACTACCTGCTAAGTACAAGTTTGCTTAATGGACAAGGACTCCCGTCCTTCCGGCGTGTACCGCTTACCTCTCTATGTTTGCGCGGGCCATCTGTGCGTTGTGTCCGAACATTCCCTAGCTAACAATTGTAAAAATATATTAGAGTTCCACACTTATATGTAACATCTCATATTGCAGAGATTCATATCAATAATACTTGTATGCTAATAAAGAGAGTGTATTATTAGGATTTTATAGCTAAAGTAATCCTGATACGATTAGCAAACCTAATCAGATATGAATAAGTTTAGGTGATAAAATCTTGTTTGAGTAGAATTACATGACAGGAAATTTCCTACTTAGATTTCACCTCTTCTATTATATAAAAAGGGTCCCTGCTCTCACACTCTACACACAGAAATAACTCTTCTAGCCTCATTGAATAGAGATGTGATAAGAACAGTGAAAGAGAGTAGAAGATCATTTGTTTACGCTATAGAGTTGTCATGATACAAGTAGAGATGCATATGTTCAAAAGATTGCTCAACAGAGTTTCTAATTCAAATAAGTGTTCTTAGTTGATTATGAATTTCCTTGTAACATATGGTATCAGAGCCACTCATAATCAATGTTCTAAAAATCGGCCTTAGTGGTGAAGGCCAGCCCAGATTTAGGGCAAATCGTTTTGAAAAATCGATCTGGAGTTAGGTGGTCCTAGGTGGCAGTGCCTAGGCGGTTTTGTTTTTTTTTGTTTTTTAATTAATTGTGTACTTTTTTTTCTTTTTTAGTTTCATGGTGGTATACTTATGGAAATGGTGTACCTAATTTGTAAATTATGGATTGACTATAAGTTCATCCAATTGTGAAATGAATAAGAGCACTATTGAGGGGATGCATACAAAGAAAAGAAATAAACTAGATACTATGTCTAATCCAATGCAAGGATCATAAACAAGAAGAATTTAGTCTATCATCTAAGAATACTCCTCATTATGATTTTATGATTACTGTTTTTTAAATATTGAACTTGTTGGATGGATGTACTTTGTGTATTATTCTACTTCTATTTTTGCATTTTATCATTCTTTTTATTATCCATACAAGTATAAATTCTTTTTTTTTTTAATGTAAATATGCACTTATTTACAAGATATATAATAAATTTACATAAATCCCTCTAAGCCTCACCTAGCCGCCACCCGACTAGCGCCTAACGTTTTTTAAAATCTTGCTCATAATACGACTAAAGACCTATTCGGTAAACCCTTAAATTTATAAACAGAGTCCATGGCATGTTTTAGATTTCAATCAAGAAATAAATTGTGTGATTTCAAACATATAATGGATACAACTTGCCATGATGAAATCGACACTTTAGCTATTATTTAAAAATTGTGTTCATATCTAGGTGGGATAGGAAAACTAACAAAAAACTATGGGTAAATTACACAAAACTACCTCAACTATTGAGCCAATCACAGTTTCATACCCCATCTTTAAAAAATGTCAATGTCATACATCATCTACTAATTTATTACAATTTCATACATTTCGTCAGTTGTCTGTCAATTTCTTCGTTAAATGCTGACGTAGCTTGATGAGGGACCCACTTTCTATCAAATTAATTAAATATTAAAAAAATTAAAAAAAAAACCCAAAAAAACTGAAAAACCAAAAAAAAAAACCAAACCCACACCCATATCTTCCCCATTGACTCGTTCCCCCCCCCCCACCCCCCAAAACTCACATCCCCACTTTCTTCCGACATCTCCTGGTTTAGATGTTCTCCTTCTTCACCAAATTCCTCTCCCTCAGAATCAAAATCCAAAACCCTCTTAGCTCCATTGCCATCTTCGCCACCACCCAAACCATCAAAACTCGAATTCATTTCACCTTCACCGTCCAAACCATCAAAACCAAAATAGATTTCCCCTCCAGCACCCAACCCGTCAGAACCAGAACTCATTTCACCTTCACCACCGCCCAAGCTGTCAAATCCGTAATTAGAATCCCTTTCGCCGCCCAAACCTTCTAATCCCAACCCCAACCTTGACGGCTCATTTGATTCCTCCAAGCTTAGAGATTCAAATTTAGAGGGATTCACTCGGCGGCTCTCCAATTCGTCGACGAGAGGTTCTTCGAAAACCCTAATTGCTTTCTTTAAGCGCTTCAGCTTCATTTGGTGGACTAGCAGAGCAGCCTCCGCCAATAGCAGCTTGAAATCGTCATCGTTGTCCATCTCCGCAACGGATTTCTCGGCATAACGGATGAAGAAAAATCAAATTAGGGTTTGATGAAACGCAGTGGAGAGAAGGTAGAAGGGTGATGGGAAGCTTTAGGAAGGGGGAGGGGAAGGGGATTTAGGTGTGGGTTTGGTTTTTTTTGGTTTTTTTTTTATTTTTTAATATTTAGTTAATATTTAATTAATTTTTTTAATATTTAATATAAAGTGGGTCCCGCCTCAAACCGCGTCAGCATTTAATAGAGGAATTAATAGACAACTAATGGAAAGTATGAAATTGTAATAAATTCGTAGATGAGGTATGACATTGACACTTTTTAAAGATGGGGTATGAAACTATGACTGGCTCAATAGTTGAGGTAGTTTTGTGTAATTTACCCAAAAACTAATATGCATTGTTGAGATTCTGTTTTTTGTTATCCGACCTCATAAAGGTATTGAGGGATTTGTGCAGTTTTTCCACATCAAGTTCCCCAACAATAACAAAAGCCTAATACTTTTCAATTACTAGCAGAAAATTAAAAATATGTAAAATAAAATAAAAGATGAATGCTTCCATCGTAAAAGCCAAGAGAAAATAAAAAATGAGAATTTGATTTTTACAAGTAAGAGGACGATCTGTTTTCTTTATAGCATGGGATCTTTGAGTTTCTTAGTCTGTCTTGTGGTGATAACTAAAGGAGGAAGAAGCAGAATTGGGAGTTATCTTGATTGACATATATACAAAATTGAAAATTAAAGAATGGACCAGATTATTGGTATTTTGTGAGTGGTACATGTTTTGTGTAATCTTTGTTTTGCCTTCAGTCAATAAGGTAAGCCAATTGAATCATAAATGTATACCAATACATAAAAAATATGACAACAAGCATCTTACACCATAAAGATTATGAACAACTGCTTTTCAAATCCAATGAAAGTGACTAAATCGTCAGCGTGAGTTTATCTAATTAAGTTTGTTGGATTCTCGTGATTCTTTCATTTGGTAAAATGTCCACTAAATGTCGTAACAAATAGAATTGTTTAATCCCATGGATACTTGGAGATACTTTCATGAATCAAGTTGCAATGTGAAGTTCAGTGGTTATTTATGAAGTCTTCAAAAACCTATGATCATGAAGCCACAAAACATGAACAACCATCACTGGTTGTGTATTACTTTGTCCTCACTAAAGTCTTATTAAGGAAAATACTATTTTGTTTTTGTTCTCATTCTATTAAGATTTTCCAATGAAGAATGTGGTAAATTTGATCTTGATATTTTTCAACACTAATCATATTGAGTTGTAGAGAGACGGAAAATGCATTGGAAAGCTACAAAAATTCAGAAGATGCCTATCAGCTTCGTTATTAGCTTCATCACTCTGATCACGATCAACAAATTAAATGTTGCATATTCATGTATTGGTTAAAGCCTTTCTTGTTTATGTGTAATTTCTGAACTTGATCAAAGAACTAATTATTAGAATTGCACTAGAATTCATAACATGGAGAAAGAAACCCTTCCAAAGGAGGTTTGCTTTTATTTTTATTTTTCATGGTTTGGATTCTAGTCAAGGACGGATCCATATAGGGACCAGGGAGGTCCCAGGACCCGTCGGCAATCCTAAATCGTTACTATAAATTTTCCGAGGACCCCTCGTACTCGAGCATGAGGTCTGTGTAGGTTGCAGTGGCTGTCTTCTTCTCGGAGAAGATGACCGCGCACGGAGAAGAAAGAAATAGGGACCCTTCCTGCCTCTCTCCTCCTTGCTTCTGCCATGGTCTCATTCATCGGTGCCACCCACTTCTCCTCCAATCTTTCTGTGTCGTCTGGTGGGGGCAGTACATAAGCCCAAACTTTCCCAAATTATTTCAACCATCTTAGTAATTTTTCTTATGGGTGAAGTTTCCTTCATAAGGTTAGTAAGATGGATATGATCTGTCATGGGTTGGTGAAATTTGGTGGTGGAGCTACCATGGCTTCGGGAGAATGGGGAGGGAGGCGGTTAGTGGAGGTATGACAACTTTGTTCTTAGTGAGAGAGAATGTGGATGTTTGGAAACTAGTAAAAGAGAAAAATGGTGTGTTTGGGGAGAGTTTTATTTGACCGGTGTTTTAATTTGCTATCCACACACCCCTTTTTACTTCATACACACCCTCTTAATTTGCGACCGTCGGATCGACTGAATTAAAAAATATCAAATGACAGAAATAAACAAAGGGTGTGTGAGACGCAAAAAGGGGTGTGTGAATAGCACACCCCTTTAAATTTAGTGGTTCATATTAGATAATCAATAACTTAGGTACTCCCTAGTAACTTATGAAACCTTGTAATGGACGCTTGAATTATGATTTTATAATTTGTAATATTGTTTTGCATATGATTTTTAAATGAAATGTATTATATTTAAATTTTCAATGTTATTTTTGTCTATAAATTTTTTGACCTTTATAATTGGGACCCTCCGAATTTAAAATCCTGGATCCGCCACTGATTCTAGTGGTATAATATATCATATACATATGTTTAAATTAGGTTTTGCTTTCTCCTTTCACAAAGATATGAAAGCAAGGCTACATGAAATTCAAACATAGCTATGGTAGTATTATCAACAAAAGAAATTGTTATCAGTATTTCTTCATCCAAAGGTGTCGAAACTGTAAACTATATAGTTATGGGGTTAAAAATGTTAACACTTTTTATAACTACGGACTGAGACTGATTTAAGAAGAGAAAGCATGGTATGAATTCTTAACCAAGACAATATCTATATCATGCATTGACTAATATGTAGAAGTACTCTTAAGCATGATAAATTCTTTGGAATAATAAGGGGTTTGCACTTTGGTATTACCATATGGATTGTCAGATAGCATAAACATGGTACATGTCACACCATGTATGCCATGAGTTATATCACTAAAGCTATACATTATAAT